AAGGAAGGAAGGAAGGAAGGAAGGAAGGAAGGAAGGAAGGAAGGAAGGAGAAGGAGGGAGGAAAGGAGAGAGGGGAGTAGAGAGGGAGGGAGAGAGGGAGGAAGGAAGGGAGGAGGAAGGAGGGGAGGGGGAGGGAATGAAGAGGGAAGAAGGGGAAGTGTGAAAAACAAAGACAGTAAGAAAACATATGACTTTCTATGCTGAAATACTTTCAGGAGATAAACATTGGTTTTCATATGCCCAGGGAATGTTTATTTTTAGAATTGGCTGACGTTAATCACTGCCACATATTATAAAGCTGTTTTTCCAAATTGCAGCTTCCTACAGGCATCCTGGTGGAAAGGAGAATGGAAATGTCCTAAGTAATGCGTGATGATTTGGAACTAGCCCATTTACTCTAGTGGATTCAAAGAGGGAGCTACAATATTAACAGCTACACAGCACTCTTTTATTACTATGCCTGTCACATCTCTTTGTTTTATTATTTAAGGGAACCCTTAACTCCCATCTTCCTGTGAAAGTTTATTTTGTACCTTTGATATCAGTGATAGCTGATATCAAAACCAAAGACATTCAAAGAAAACTACAGACAAATATCTGTTTTGAATGCAGACATAAAATCTTTAACAAAATACTAGTGAATTCAAAACAGCAACATATGAAAATAATCATATACCAAGTAGGATTCATCCTAGGAATACAGGGAAGGTTTAACATCAAAATTAATTAATGCAATACACTTTGTCAATAGAAATAAAGACAAGAAAAATACGATTATATTACTTGATACATAAAAATTATTTGACAAAACCTGAGATCTCTTCATGATAAAAGCACTTAGCAAACAAGGAATAGAGGGAAACTTCCTCAATTTCATAGAGTATCTATTTTTTTTAAATGTTAACATTAGACCTAATGGTGAAAGAGTAGAGGCTTTCTCCCTAAGATGAGCAACTAGACAAGGATATCCACACTTATTACTTCTATTCTGCATTGTACTGGAATTTTTAGCTGTGCAATTAGGCAAGAGAATAAAATCAAAGGTATCCAAATTAAAAGGAAAGAAGTAAAGCTATCTCTATTTGCAAATATCAGGATTTTGTATACAAAAAAATAAACTTAAGGTATTCACCAAAAATCTGCTAGAACTAATAAAAAGAGCTTAGCATGGTTACTGGATGCAAGCTCAAAAACATATAAAAATTAATTGTACTTCTAGACATTTGTAATGAATGATCTAAAATGAAATTAAGAAATAAATTCCATTTATAATAACATCAAAAGGAATAAAATTATTAGAAACAAATTCAACAAAAAAGTGTAAAAAAGAATACCTATTTTTTAAAAAAGAAGATCTAACTAAATGTAAAAACACGCCATGTTCATGGATAAGAAGGCTTAATGTTAAGATGAAAATACTCTCTAAATTGGTCTACATGTTAAATGCAAGCCTTGTCAAAATTCCAGCTGGTATTTTTAAATGGACAAGGTGATCCTGAAATTCATATTGAATTGCAAAGGACTTTGAATAAGCAAACAATCTTGAAAAAGAACAAAGTTGAAGGACTCATATTTCCCAATATAAAAATATAAACAATAAAAATCTGGACAGCATTGGTATTGACATAAAAATAGACATTTAGACTAATGGATAAAACTGAGAGTCCAGAAATAAACTCTCTCACATTTGTTGTAAATTAATTTGTGATAAAGTTTCCAAGACAATTCAATGGGGAAAGAATATTCTTTTTAACAAATTATGCTGGGACTACAGGCTATCCATATGGAAAAGAATGAAGTTGGATCACTACCTCACATCATATTCAATAATTAACTCAAAATGGATCATCCACCTAAATGTAAGAGCAAAAACTACAAAACTCCTTCTAGATGCAGTGTGTTCTGTGGGAGATTTGCATTCATTTCACACCTGTAGGTGACTTCAGAAAGATTCCTTTTGAAGGATCCACTCAACAGGGTATGTGTTAAATCCATAAGGGCTGCAAACAGACATGGCGATGATCGTTATCTTTTTTTTTTTTTTTTTTTTTCTTTTTTAAGACAGTGTCTCACTCTTGTCCAGGCTGTAGTGCAGTGGTGCCATTTTGGCTCACTGCAGCCTTTGCATCCCAGGTTCAAGCGATTCCCCCACCTCAGCCTCCCAAGCAGCTGTAATTACCGTGTGTACCACTATGCCCAGCTAATTTTTGTATTTTTAGTAGAGAAGATGGTTTTACCATGTTGGCCAGGCTAGTCTTAAACTCCTGACCTCAAGTGATCTGTCTGCCTCAGCCTTCCAACATTCCAGGATTACAGGTATGAGCCACTACACCTGGCCTATGGCCCTTACATTTTTATGTTATCAAGTAGAGATATCGTGTTTATTCATTTTCCATTCATGGAGAGAATTACCTATTGAATGTCATAAAATATGTAGCATTTTTCTTTTGCTCCCCTCTACTACATTACTATTTTTCTTTTCAGCAGGCATTTACTTATGGAGCACTGGAGCAAATGCAAAATAACTTCAGGCAGGTCTGAATAACCAGACATAAAGCAAATAATCAATGCAATTACTTGTGCAGCTCAAGCAGACAAAGACACCCCTCCCATTTAAATGTAAATAGTCCTAATGATTACAGCAGGAGGATATATATTTTATTTTTAAACTATTAACATTAGCTTGAAGTTGAATCATTAGAGTATAATATGAAAACCATATATAAAGACATTTGGAAATAATAAGGGGTTGTAATTCTAAGTGGCAATTACAGAACTGCCAAACTTCCTTTGGATCCTAGTTATTTCATCCAAATTCAATGAGAAATACAGGTTACAAAGGACAAAGTCAAAGAGCAAGAAAAGCAAAATGATTTAATCCATAGTTTAAAATCTTCTCATTTGTATCAGTAAGTTGAAACTGTGGGAAATTGTGACAGATGACTTCCCAACTTGCTCTAGTTGTCATATGCGTTGAATTTTCTTTCTGATATTCCTCATCTGAACATTTGGAAGCATCTTTTCTGAGACACATGTCCTTGTGTTTTCATTCAGTTTGTATTTTCTGAAATAGATTTCTTGACTTGACCTTCGCTGATGAGTAAGGGCTGTGGAGTTGTTGCACTTCTGGTCAGTAACCACAGTGAGTTCCCAGAGCAACCCCAAGTACAGAGAGTGCTGTCCAGCACATGCTCATCTCCTGTTTCTTCAAGTGCTTCATGGTTCCCACCCTGCCTGTCCTCATTGACTCTTTAAGACATACAGTGCCAGGCCTACCTTTCTCCCTGGTGACTAAGGGTCATAAAAATTCTGATTTTTCACACTAACACAAGCACTATATTGGGACGGATACATAGGTCACAACCAATGTTCCAGCAGACAGAATTTATTTGGTTACTGAATACATTCAAGCTCTAGAATTAGAATAGAATTCTAGTTCTAGTTTTAATATTCATACAGATGCAGAAAACTCATGTTTGAGTTTATATGAAGGCAAAAGAGATAAGATTGAAGATAATATATATATTTACTTTATAAGTAAATTCATGGCCATTATTAAAAAAAAAAAAAAAATGAAGCATAGGCTCACCACCTAAATCCAAAATGCAAGCACTAGTGGTTACCAGAGGCTAGGAAGGGTAGAGGGAAGGGGGAGATCAAGAGAGACTGAATAATAGGTACAAAAATACAGTCAGAAGAAATTAGACCTAGTGGTTAATAAATTTATGGTAACATTTTCTCTCCTGGGCTTTATTTAAAAAATTATCCCACTCTTAATGTGTATTAGAAAATACAATTACATTCAATTTGACAGTAGAATCTTACCATACAACCTCCTTCAGTGACAAAAATAAAATTGGATAAAACTCCTTTGAAGACATAGCCAGCACTTTCTGTGGAAAGAAATAATGGACAAGCACTGTCAATAATTGTCAAGTGTGTCTAATCACAGCAAACGAAATGGAAGGGGAGGGAGAACAGTCTATTTAATTAGACATCTTTATTACCAATGGATTGACTGAAAATATCCTTTTATCATAACACTTGCAGATTCATCTTCCAATTAGAAGATAAGTAGATCTTCTCATAAGTGAATGATCCTGGATAAAAATAACTGCTAGGGATTCTTAAGTCTGTTTCTAAATTATTAATTTCAACAAACATGTACCTACCTTAGACTTGCCTTATAAATGTTCTACGAGGAGCATCGTCCCACAGTTCTATAAAAATGAAATCTTTGATTTAGACTTAGAGCTTTAGAAATATATTTGGACTAACATCTTTAAAATGTCTTTGGAAAACAACATCATTATCTAGAACAGAGACAATAATATACTGGATTTTTATATAAGCAAGTAGTTGGTAGGTTTTTTTTTTTTTGAGACGGAGTTTCACTCATGTTACCCAGGCTGGAGTGCAATGGCGCGATCTCGGCTCACCGCAACCTCCGCCTCCTGGGTTCAGGCAATTCTCCTGCCTCAGCCTCCTGAGTAGCTGGGAATACAGGCATGCACCACCATGCCCAGCTAATTTTTTGTATTTTTAGTAGAGACGGGGTTTCACCATGTTGGCCAGGATGGTCTCGATCTCTTGACCTCGTGATCCACCCGCCTCGGCCTCCCAAAGTGCTGAGATT